ATTTAATTGTTTTAATTTTTTTTTATAAACTGTTTCATCATATACCTGTATCACAGATTCTTGAATAGCAATGCATTTTATAAACTGTTAATCATGTTTTTTCCTTAAGTATTTGAAGTCATTTATGTACCCATAAGTCACTTATAGAAATTATACATTTTGTATTTCTATCGATGAAAATCAATTAAATATCAATGTATTTTTTGTTTTATTAAGTATATGTTTTCTTTACGATTTTTTTATTATATTTAAAAATTTTTCTGAAATATACATTTTTTTAACTTGCAAGGTACAATAGAACACATTACTCCGATAAAGGAGATTGACTCAATCAAGGACGATTTCACAATTAAGGTTCGGATCATACGTCTTTCGACTCAACAGTCAAAATTTGATGCAAACGAAACATACTCGATTGAAATGGTTTTGATGGATGAGGAGGTATAAAATGCATATATTCAATTATTATTGTTATAAAAATTTATTCACATTTGTAGTGTAACGTCCCGATTCCAGATATAAATTTAATTAAAGAATAATTGGTATTATGTCCTACTCGGCGAGTTGGTTGCCCTACTCACCGAGTAGAAGTGGGATTGGAACGCGTGTTTAGTGACCTACTCGGCAAGTCCACCAAGGGACTCGGCGAGTAGGAGCTGGCATATGAAACCCTAAATTCTGGGGTTTTACACCCTATTTAAAGGATCATTGGCCTCCACCAGCCTCCCCTTATGCCTCTTGTCTCTCTCTTAAACCCTAAAACGTGTGTGTGTGTGTGTGTTTTTGGTGTCCAAGCTTGAAGGAGTGACTTTGGAAGGAAGCAATTGAAGAAAAAAGGAAAAGCAAGGCTAGGAACTCGGGAAAAGCTAAGGGATTGCATCAAACATCACTCTCTGGAAGGTAATAAGCTATTCCCTTAGGCTCTTTTCACTTTGAACCTCCCTTGGATGGGTGCTATGAAGGACTCTCCATGTTTAAGCTAGGATCTGAAGTTATAACTTCAGATCTGGACTTCCCTTGACCTCTAGATCCATAAAGTTCCCAAATTGTGCAAGGTTGAGACTCTCCCAAGGTGTAAAACTCCATTAAAGAGCTTAGATTGATCATTTTGGGCCTTTAGAGCCTTGCATGTACGTAAAGATTGCAACTTTACGTAATAAACGTGCCTTAGGAGCTTGGATCTGTAATTTGGGGCCTTGCCATGGCTTAAAAAGCAGTTGCATGGATTAAGATCTGCATGGACTCGGCGAGTTGATTAAGGGACTCAGCGAGTCCGTTGAAGATGGCCATAAACTCGGCGAGTTTGATGAACAACTCGGCGAGTTCGTTGAAGATTGCCTTGAACTCGGCGAGTGTTAGAAAACTCAGCAAGTCGGGGACCTGCACTCGGCGAGTCGAGTCAACATGGACTGTTGACTCTGACTGTAGACTTTGAATTGGACCAAGGGGTTGACCAATTGAATTTTGCGGGTCCCTGGGATTGGGAGATTTATGAAAAAGGTTGTGTGGTACTTTTAGGTGGTGAAGTTCATGTTGGACCCGGGAGTTGAGCTTTCTTATTTCCGATGACAGTTGCGAGGTGAGTTATCCTCACTATACTAAGGGGTCTAAGGCACCAAGGCCGGCCCATTGGATTTGATATGCTAGTAGTCATGGATATGTTGAGTTGAGTTAGTAATGTATGCCAGTTGGTATGCAAGTCGGGTAGATCTATAGGATTGTCTGTGATACTGATTGATTGCCTGTACGTGCATTTATCTGTTACATGTCGACATGTTATGAGGGGTGGGTTGAGGATGTACTGCTCCATGCGGTAGCCAACAAACCCGAGAGTCAGATATGAGCTGAGGGCCCGGTAGGCATTCCAGACTCATACTGAGGACTCGAGAGCATTCCAGATACGAGCTGAGGGCCCGGTAGGCATTCCAGACTCATACTGAGGGCTCGATGGCATTCCAGATACGAGCTGAGGGCCCGGTAGGCATTCCAGACTTGTACTGAGGGCCCAGGGGTAGTCCAGCTTGTAAAGTTGTGGACCCAGTGCATGTTGTTCTGTTCTGTTTTGATTGATATGATATGCTAATGTTGATATTGCTACGTGAACTGTATGTGTATCGGTATTTTGGGGGTAACTCACTAAGCTCTCGGGCTTACAGTTTCAGTTTATTGTTTCAGGTACCTCAGGGGATCGCGACAAGGCTAAGACTTGATCGTACAGCTCCTCTTATTGTGTTATGTTTCTGGGGAAAACTTTGATATAAATGTATTTTGAAAACAAAGTTGTAATGTTTTGATGAATTTGACATGTTTTTAAAAATTTAAATTTGGCTTAAATTTTGAGTGTTACATGTAAGCAATTATATTTAAATGTTTGTTATTCAATTTTTTTAGGGAAGGAAAATTCATGCATCTTGTCTGAAGAAATGGTTTCCTAAATTCCACTGCTATTTAAAAGATGATAGTTCATTATACATCAGGAAACCTATTGCCGCACCAAATACTTCAAACTTTAGTTTTGTTGATCCAGACAAAAAACTTACTTTTAATCAAGATACAACTGTGAAGTATTGTGAAAACTTTTCTGGTTTTGCACATGACTTTGTTTTTATTGACTTCAATACAATTGTTTCTAACAACATCCTAGAGTCAGACTCTTTTGGTTGGTTCTTTTCATATTAAGTTTTGTTATGTAACATCTTATTTTCTTTCATTTTATTACAAATTGATAATTCTTATTAACTTAATATTATATTTTGTTGCTTTTGTAGATATTATTGGACACATTTTTGAATATAGGCGTATGGATACCTCGGAACAAGATAAATCAAAACACAAGATGCTCTTGCATCTTCAAGATATAGAGTATTCACCATTATTACAAACAAATAATATACTTTCAAATATATTATCTACAATATTTGTTTATTTTTCCAGGGATATTAAGCTTAAGGTAACTTTGTGGGGTCATAATGCATACTACATGCAAGATTTTCTTGCTAACAATAACAGCCTTGCTCCAGTAGTTGTTATTGTTCAGTTTACCAGAGTGAATTTTATTAATGGTTTGTAAGTTTTCACAACCATTTAATAAAATTTTGTATATAGTTAAATAATAAATTATATTTTTTGCAGGTTGTCCTTTTTCATCCACCTACTTTAATGTTAGTAGGTTGTTCATAAACAATGATATGGATGAAATTACAAGCTACAAGAACAAGTATTTTCATTTATAATTTCCTTTGTATTTTCACATTCAATTTTTTCATATTATAATAAATTTAATTCCTTTCTTTGTTATAAATGAACAGATTGGTTTCTGAAAATGGACAACTTTCATCAAGTGGAATCAAAATGATGGCATCAAAACAAGTCACGTAACATGATGACTTTCTGAAAAATAATGTGTTTTCTAACATTGATGATTTGTTTGAACCTTTGGAGGTACTTTACGTTATTTTTATAATTTTTACTTTAGTGCAGTTTTATTTATAAATTTTAAAAGTTTAAGAAACAAACATAATATATTGTTATAACAAAAGTAACATACACTGGCATAAACTAACATTTTCTTAACATTAAACATTATTTAATTTTCCAGGAAAAAACGGTCGTTATTGTTGATATTGTTAAGGGAATACGTCAAAACATACGTTGGTATTACCTTGCTTGTAGCAACTGCAAAAAGTCAGCAAAACAAAAAGAGTCTTCTACTTCTACTGATAAGGTTGATGGTTCTTATGAAGTGGCCGAATTCGTTACTTATGAATGTGCTAATCCTAAATGCAAAACCATCAAAATTTCGGTTATTCCAAGGTATTACATATTTATTTTATATAAAAACAATATATGTTTATCATAATTGTCTAATATAATATGATTTTATACTTTATTTAGATTTAAAATTCCACTTCGGTTCAAGACAACACAAGGACCTTGACTTTAACCTTATTTGATCAAGAAGCAAAGAAGTTGTTTAATTATACTGCTAAAGAGTTGTATGATAAAAACAACAAGGTATTATTTTATAGTTCTAAATTACTTCTTTATGTTATACAATTATATATTTATACACAAATTTTCTAACAATTATTTTTTATATTTTAGCTTGGCATCAATTTGGATTTGTATCCAATGGAGTTGAAAGTTGTGGTGGAGAAAAAGTTGGCAATTAAGATTGATATCTCAAGCTACAATGTGACTTATAAAAGTAATATTTATGGGATATCAAGATTAACCAATAATACAGACATAATTGATGAACTGGAAAAAAAAAAGAATATTGTTCCTCGGGTTTTTTTCAATAATTATATTTAGTTTTTACCACTTTGACCCAACAATATCTGACTCAATAGCAATTTCTTTTTGATCTCATGATGCAGCCTACTAATTCGGATTCATTCATGATTGGTTCTTCAGATATTGGTTCCCAAGAGACCAAAGTTGTCAAGGTTGTACTTTTTAAATTATAATTCTGAAGTATTATGTTTTAATGTATAACAACTAACTAAATCTTTTTATAGGATTCTTTTTCATAGACAGGTGACAATTTAACACCTTGTGCTAGGGACAACTCAACTGCAACAAATCATACAAAGTTGATTTTTACACCAACTGAGTTGAAAAGAAACCTTGCTACATGCATAGATATTGATGAAATGGAGAATTTGTCAACATCTAAGTCTGCTCGATTGTCACCACCGGATGAACAACCAATGCCTCTATTGGTCCCAAAGAAAGAAAAGTAAATGTATTTTACTTTTACAAACAATCTTACTTCATGGTTTTGAATTGTTTTTGTTTGGGATTTGATGGTTTTTGTTTGGTGGATTGGTTTTGAATGGTTTTTGTTTAGGATTTGATGGTTTTTATATTTATTTCTTGAGTATACATTGTGTTATTTTTGTCATTCCTATAATGTCCTTCACTATGTTATTTTGATTTTGGTAGAACTGATTTGATACAACATTGGTTTTATCTCCCAAATGACTATTATTTATTCAATATTTGATAATATAACATCTTATTATGACTTTATTCTTCATTCGAAAGTATTCATTAAGGAGTAAAAATTAATCTAGGTATTAATACAATAAATAGCAATATACTATCATTTATTTGTTAATAGACAAAAATAAAAGTATCATGATATTAAACATCAAATATAAACATTAAGTAATATTAGGTATTTGTTATTGAACATCACCAAAAAAAATCCTTTGATGATAATATTTTGTATTTCTAACTGTAATTAACTAAGTTATTTACCTATAAATCACATAAACAAATGATAAGATTTTGTATTCCTATCGATCAAAATCAGTTAAATAGAAATGTACTTTCTTTTTTACTGTTTCATGGATTAAAACTTATATTGAAACGTAAATATTATACAATGTCTAAATTGCCCGTCCACTATCAAGATAGTGTTTAATCAATAAATTGTAGAATTTACATTATCTTTGTATTTAACAAACTTATTTACTAATAACTCACTTAAACACATGTTAATATTATCTATTCTATCAATCAAATTCAGTTTAAAAGCAATTTACCTGTATCAATCAAAAACGTAATATTATACAATGCCTAAATTTCCAATCCACTATATTATTGTTTTTAAATCTTTTAAAATGCCTAAAATGCCCCTCCCAATCTTATAATAGTCTTACTTACTAATAACTCACCCAAATTGCCCTTAAAGTTTGATTTTGAATTTGTACATTACGTTTCTAAAAATGTTCTTCAAGTTTCTAATTTAGTTTTAAGGTTATTATACTTGATAAATTCATGTCTCCAATTCAAGATCCTATATGTACTTTTATTCGTTCCTGATTATAACAATGTAATTTCTGCCAAAATAACTTTATTTTTACACTTATATCATGGATCGTTCAATTTGAAACGTATATATTATACAATGCCTAAATTGCCCCTCCACTATCAAGATAGTATTTAATCAATCAAATGTAGAATTTACATTATCTATGTATTTAAAAAAGCTATTTACTAAAAACTCACTTAAAGAAATGTTAACATTGTCTATTCTATAAATCAAGATCAGTTAGACAACAATTTACCTGTATCACGATTTGTGTAATTAAAATAACTATATTTTTTGTTTTTAAATCTTTTAAAATGCCTAAAATGCCCCTCCCATTATTAAGATAGTTTTAGTTAATAACAACTCACCCAAATTGCCCTTAAAGTTTGATTCTGAATTTGTACATAACGATTCTAAAAATGTTCTTCAAGTTCCTAATCTAGTTATAAGGTTATTATATTTGATAAATTCATGTCTCCAATTCAAGATCCCATATGTACTTTTATTCGTTGCTGATTATACAAATGTAATTTCTGCCAAAAGAACTTTATTTTTAATCTTATAAACCGCCTAAAATGTCCCTCCCACTATTAAGATAGTCTTTAATCAATTAATTTTTGACTTTGACTATGGATGCACTCTATGTTGTTCTTGATTTTTGTAATTTCATATTCTGGACAATCTTATATAACTATACAATAAATATCTTTTTTTTAGGTTACATAAAAAAAAGTTATTTAAATGAAATATTATCTTAAAATTTGACGAACTTACACAAGAGGATAAAAACTAAATATAGTAAATTAATATTAATTAATCATTAAACCCACCGTCGTTCAACTTGAACCTCCCCTGTACACTAGACGTAATCGGGACTAATGTGTTTACCGCGTGCGTCGATGTCTCTTCATCTCTGATTGATAATCCATTTAAACCCTCCCTGTATATATGTAAATTCTCATTCTTGCATTTTCATCACCATCAATAGATAACTTCAAATTTCTCATCCTCTGTGAAAAAAAATCCGACCAGCAATGGCAACAAACATGAATGTGGATCCATAGGCAAAGCCGAGGTATCAACTATGGACTATAAGTAGTGAGCAACCAAAAAACATACCTATTGTAGAGTATGGCAAAGGAAACGCCAAGAGATTCACCATTAGAGTTGTCCATGGCGGATTTTTTACTGATTATCCAGGTATAGCTTATGAAAAAACAAAAGTTCACTTTATTACTTTTGTCAACATCGATTTGCTTGACATGGATTTGCTTGGTAGTTTTTCTAAAAGTTTGGGTTATACAACTATGGGATACTGGTATCATATGCCAACCGAACAACATTTTGGTTTGTCAATGACTCCAATTTTGGATGATGATACTTTGGGAAATTTCAAAGCAATGGTTAGGGCACATCAATTCCGTGAGATTGAACATCTGTATGTGGAACACAAGCCAATATATGTGCCAACCAATTTCCCCCACTTCATGATGAACTCACCAGCCAAAAGAGTTAAGAAGCTTATTCATCTATTTGTTATAGAACACCCAATGGAAACAGTTGATGATGGAATAGCATACATCAAGCATATGCTAAACATGACCATTCTCAGAGGAAAGATGGAAGATGCAATGGACATGGCTAAAGAGAATGTCATTTCATCGAAAGACTTAGTGTAAGTAACAGTTATCTCTCTCTCTTTTTTTTTTTGATGAAATTACATATTTAATGGTTAAGACATTTAGTAATTATGTGTTGTATATTTGGTGTAATAGAACATCATATTTTGTAACCACTTTGAAACTCATATTTTGATTAATGTCTTATATGATGTGTTTATATATTTTATGTTAATGGTCATGTAACTCCCCAGGTTTTTCATTTTTGGAGCATAGTATATTGGTAATTATGGATATTATATCACCAATAAAGATCTCATATATTATTTTGTGTTGTTGATCTCATGAAATTGTGTAATTAAACATAATATTATTTACATATAACTTTCAGAATCTAGAAAAAGTTAACCAAAAATTTCGAGCATTTAAGATGTATAAAATGCCTAAAATGTCCATCCCACTATTAATATACTCTTAAATTAATTAATTGTGGAATTTGAATACGAATGCACTGTAAGGTGTTCTTGGATTTTTGTAATTTCATGTTGTTGACAATTAATGGCATTTTACACAATATTAATAGAATACTTTTATAATTAATTAACTTATTAAGTTATTTTGTTCATAATATCAATTCACCTTCTTACAATGAAGAACAAATAGGAAAAAAAAACATTTTTTTGTAAATTTCACCGATATTCATGGATGACTAACAATAATTTTCGATAATAGTTTCAAATTTTCAAAACAAATTATCATTCCCTCCACACAATTTCAAAATCAAAAGTTCAAACCTGAATTAAAAGATTATAAAAGCCTAACCTTATTTTAATTCATTTCCTCTGGATAGTCTTTGCTTTGCCGATAGTAGTTGCGCTTTTTCGTTCTTGATTTATGTTGTCCTCTCCAATTGACAATTACAAGTAAGCAAATCATTATTTCTGAAAAAAATGAAATTTCCAATTAATATTAAAGTCGATTTGTAATACACCTACGCCTCCATTCCCCATTTTTCTTACCTTAACACATCTTTGACCTTTTAGGTTTAAAAGATCGACACAACAAACGAATAAGCCTTAATCCAACTATTTGTTTTCGTTCATTGTTTCTATCTATACATACTACTCCAACTGTAATCTGCAGAACCAGTTTTAGACTAACCTACACATTTGTTTTATCTTTTTACTAAAGAAAGTTCCTATTTATGCTCCATGTTTAAGTAAATATGCGTAAATGATCCCTCCTTAATAACTGATGACAACTAACTTGTATATTAACTTGTGAATCATTATCAAAAATTTATAAACATTTTGTTTACTCATGTTTTTTAATATAAATAGTATTTGTTCACATTTTATTTTATAAATGTTATATAAATATACAATAAATATACTTATTATATTAAGGTATATAAAAAAATATAAAATATATAAATGCAATTATAGTTAAAAAATTTGACCCACTTAAAGAATATGATAAAACAAATTGCAATTATATGTCAAATATTTTCATAACATTAGTTTATACTTTATTTTGCTTTAATTTAATCATAGTCTTTACTGTTTATAAACATATCTTATAAATTAATTATTGTTATTTGTTCAGATTGCAGATATATCATGAAGTCGTTTAATTCTAAAAAGAGTAGAAAATTAAATAGTTTTTATTTAGATAATAAAAATAACATTAATTTGTCTACTACATCATGTTATAATATTCACGTGCTCTAATTTTCCAAATGCCTAAGGCATTAAAAGCGAAAAAGACCTAGAACCGGATATGACTAAAGTTATTAAACAACAGTCAAAGGACGATCTAAGGTTCACTAAGGATTGATCGCTTGTAGTTGGAAGTATAGTAATGGATGAACCATATTGACATTATTATGAATAAACAGAATTCTATTTATAATGAGTTGTCATATGGCATGTATGGAAATGTTTCCATAATGGGAGATGGATATTAAGAATCTATTTATGCAAGAAGGATGTTCAAAGGAATGTACTTTGAATTTGAGACTTTGCTTCCTTGGAATTGTTAGTTATCAATCTCCAAATGAATACTTTGTAATATTGTTGGCAAAGTCTATGTGACATTTGTACCTCGACATTACAAAAGGATCATTGCATGATAGTGGCAAAAATTAGGTGTTCTTACACTAAGGATTTTGAATTGTGAAATGAGTATGATTGAAATGTTTTCATTTGATCTATTTCACAAAGTAAGGACCATAGGTAAACAAAGTGCGCATGCTTGGAGCATGGGATAACTATTGTTTTAATTCAAGTATTAAGTTGATTAATCGAAACATTATACAATGAAGAATACGTAATCAGTGTGGTGATTAAATAAAAGGTATTTTATTTATATTCAAAAGTTTTGAGACCATATTGGATTCGATTATTCTTGTGTTTCACTTTGTATGTTTTAACTTCCCATATAATAAGATTATTCAAACCATCCACAGTCAATCATACTTTGGAAGTAGGTAATGAGGCAAGACTCTTATGAATCTAATTGTAGATTGTCTAAAGTGTTTAGACATAGCCCAAGTTTGCTACAATATTTATGAGTACTCCTGTAATAAGATTTGAGTATTGGATTAAACACACGCTCATCTGAATCACTTCATGGATTTTATCACGAGTGATTAGTGAGACGATAATATCATATATTCTTGAAACGGAGACATAAAGATTCAGTTTACAAGTCGATTGCACATTGATGATATGTAAACGCACTAGTAACTTGGTGTAATAAAACATATTGTTGTGTGTGATTTGATGAGTAACTAGAGCAAGCATATGAGTCGAAGTTTATCTGTTCCTTTTACCCTAAGAGGGATAAAAGCAATATTTGTGTGCCCTTTGATGATTTAGTGCTGACAATGTAGCACCTGGTTTCCGGTATGTGAATTTTATTTGAGCATTGCCCTAATTTAGCCTTAGACTCGGCGAGTCATAGGGTCCGACTCGCCGAGTAGGGACGAGACTCAGGACGCGTTTTAAGTAGGCGACTCGACGAGTCCATATCCTGGACTCGGCGAGTCACCGCTGCGGGATGAAACCCTAAGTTTCAAGGGTTTGCACCCTATTTAAACTCTCATTCCGCCCCAACTCGTCCCCATTCACCCCCAGAACTCCCCCTACATCGTTTTCCCTTGTTTCCTTGAGAGTTTGAGGTGTTCTTGGTGTGTTCTTGAAGGTTTTGAAGAGTAAGAGGAGTAGATCAAGAAGAGGAGAAGGAGATCAGCCATCCTTGTGTCATTTCGACATTTCCTTTGAGGTATAACCCGTTTTCCCCTTGATTCTATGCTTAAAACTTCATTTGGGTCCTTCTTGGTCAATTCCCCAAGTTTGCATGTTCATTATATGTTGTAATAAGGCGTTTGGCCTTTGGATCTATGTAAGATTGAGCTCCAGGAGCTCAGATCTGTTAGCTTTTTGGCCTCATGAGGCTTGTTAGCCCTAGATCTACCATTTTGAGACATTTTGAGCCTTATAATCCATATTGGTGAATATCCACACGTAAAGTTGGAAACTTTACGTGTGATTCGTGTCCTAGAAGTCCAGATCTATGAATGGCATGGACTGGAACCGAGCAAATCGGTATATTTATGGAGTGCATGGCGATGACTCGGCGAGTCGCATAGGTGACTCGGCGAGTCTGGTCGCGAGTCATCGATTTGGTCCCTTCTTCATGTATCGAGTTGTGCCTTGAGTCACAGGGGGTGACTCGGTGAGTTGGGAGCTGAACCCACCCATGTTAGGACTCGGCGAGTCAATGCCCTGACTCGGCGAGTCCAAGGCAATCTTCATAGCTCAAGAACAGACTCGGCGAGTTGTTCATACAACTCGGCGAGTCTTAGCATAAAGTGTTCTTCGGGTGAAGATGAACTCGACGAGTTGTTCATACAACTCGGCGAGTAGGATGAAGGTGTTGAGTGACAGTTAGAAGGTGAACTCGTCGAGTCATAGCCCGACTCGACGAGTAGAACCAGGGACCCAGGACATTGGTTTGCTAGGGACTCGGCGAGTGGTGACCCACTCGGCGAGTCGGGTCAACTGAAAGTTGACTCCAGCTTTGACTTAGAGCTAATCCAGGGGTAAAATGGTCATTTTACCTAAAGGACAGTTAGCAGTGTTTGATTGAGTATGTCGTGGAAATTGCAGCCGGAGGACTCCCGGAGCAGCAGCAGTCAGTTAGTTCCCGATCAGTTCAGCAGCTACTTTGAGGTGAGTTACCTTCCAGTAGTGGTGGGTCTAAGGCCACAATGCCGACCCACCAGTAGGAGTTGTATGATAGATGATTGTCTGTGTGATATCATCTAAGTTCGCTAGTACCTGACATGTTATATGCTAGCATGATATGCTGTATGTGATAGTAGTAGAGTTTGGTTGTTCGGACCGAAGGGTAGTCAGACACCCCAGATACGTCTGACAGTATGTGACGATATGTATGCATGCTGGCTTGTTATGTTATATGTGATCGTAGTAGTAGGGGTGAAATAGTCCCCGAGGATCGGTTGTTAGGACCGATGGGTAGTCAGCACCCCAGAATGGCTTGACACGGGTAAGACGGCACCCTAGAATGGCCGTATGGGTAGGTCGGCACCCCAGAATGGCCGTACCGGGTAGTCAGGCACCCCAGAATAGCCTGGCAGTATATATGTTATGTGTTTGTATAGTATGCGGTACGTTGGGGGAAACTCACTAAGCTTTGTGCTTACGTTTACAGTTTTGTTTTCAGGTACCTCTGCATCGAAGGGGAAGGAGCCGGCACGGTAGCGGCACGTCTTACACACACTCTTCGGTTTCCGCAATTATGAGATTTACTGGGATTGTACTCTGATATTTTGATGGGATGTACGGTTTGGCTTTTGAGAACATGGTCGTAATGTGTTATAGTGTGAACAAACAATGCTTCTTTTTATTTAAACAATGTTTTTATTTATTAATGTTTTCTAAAGTAATATCTTAAAAATGAAATTTTCGGACGTAAAAATTGGGTCGTTACAGACAACCCTAAGCGCTTGGCCAAGCCTAGACTTATTTGATTTG